ATAAACTTATTATTGAGTTGGTTTTTAGTTCTTAGTTCAATAAAGTAGTAGGCTATTTCTAACTTTTATTTGTTAATTTTGTTTTGTATATTTTCAGTAAGTGTTTGTTGATTTTCTAAATTTCTGGTCTTGTATAGAGTATTGTAGTATTGCTTAAGAATTGAGATTGTATTTAGTAGGTTAGTAGGTGTAGTATCAGTTAGTGTGAATGTTTGAATCTCTAAGTCTGTTAGGGTATTAATTTTGCTTAGTTTAGCATTAATATCATTTAGATTGTATTCATTTGCAGTAGTGAGTGAGCATATAATACTGCTGATAAGTTGTAGACCTGTGTGTAGTTTAGTAGCAAGAAGGGAGTAAGTATGGTATTTTCTATTTGTAGAGATAGAGTTAAGTATATATTTGTTAGCAATATCAGTAATTAGAGTAGTTATTTTATGCTAGATTTAGTTAATATTGAGTGTTGATAAGTTGTCAAATATGTTTAAAGAGCTAATGTTTTGTTCTATGTATATTGAGAAGTTGTCCTAGCTTTCTTAGTTCATTGATACATAGTGATAGGTTTTCTTTTTTGAATGATGCTTAGTTCTAGGTAAGTGGTAGAAAGGATTAAATAACTATTTAGTGTGGATGATACAATAGTCACTGTCTGTTATCATTGTGGTTAGAGTTAGAATTAGTTAGCTGAAACTAATAATAATTAGTAAATCATATTCCTTAAATTTTTATAAATATAATCTATACCCTTCAAAAACTTATAAAATCTTATATCTTAAAAACTATATTATCCTTCTCTTTTTAAAAACTTTCTTATTTTTCTAACTAATTTTCTTTAATCTTAATATTCATATTATTATATCATGAGTAATTTTTGAGATGAAATTAATGTTTTAAATATTAATAAAATTTATAATTCTTTAAAAAATTTCTTAGATAATTAAGATATCTTTACAGAAAATACTAATAAAGCTTTGGATAATTTGAAAACTAATAATGAAAATATATTCTTGAGTTTATAATATGAAACTACTCAAAATGAAATATCTAATGAACAGCAAAATTTAAATATAGATGAAATCTTTGAAAATAGTTCTGAAAGCTCCTTTGATAAAAGCTTCTTTGATGAAAATGATGAACTATCAATAATTGATAAAATCAAAAGAGACATATAACATGAAGTTAACAATAATACTGAATTTATTTTACATTTTGAAGCCTACAAGGATTATAAAACCTTCAAAAATATTGTCTATAAAATCAAACAACTTGGAAAATATAAAAGTATTAACAAATAAAAGTTAGAAATAGCCTACTACTTTATTGAACTAAGAACTAAAAACCAACTCAATAATAAGTTTAT